ATCTCTGCTGCCCTAAGAGTCCTTCCTAAGCTCGACTCTCACCATGTCCCTAGGGCCCTGTCCAAGTCTGTGACTTCAATCACCATCTCTGTATCCAAGTTTGTCCTTAACCCAGAGTTCCCATCAAATACAGTTTTCAGTACTTCTGGGAAGTCTCCAGTTGGAACACTTCAGAGTTACCCCTGCAAACCTGGACTCACTAGACTCCTTTTATTTCCTCTAAAATCTTGCTTGAACAGAAACCTCCTCTTTTGAGGCAGGGAGATGTAACTTGGTAGTAGAGGGACTTGGTTTACCATCTCCACAAAAAAAGAAAGCAACAATTCAAACCAAACCAAAACCAACCAATCCATCTCCCCAATCAAAAAATAAACAACAAAGACCCTCCAATAACAATTAAAACACCTCATTTCCTTCCTCTCCCTTATGGCCATATGTGGTCAGTTAGCACATGCTGCTGACTTACCTTCTGTGTCTCTCTGTACCGTGTCCTCGTCCCTCCGTCCTTGCTGACAGGCTGTTAGGTAAGCCGCCATCATCCCATGTCCAGTCCTCCCAAGCATTGTTTCAATTGCTTCATGTTGCAGTTAGTAACTTAAAAAGGTTTTTTTTGAATTATTTTATGTATATGAGTGTTTTGCCTGCATGTATGTAAGTGCACCACATGCATGCAATGCCTGAGAAGGCCAGAAGAGGGCACTGGATCCCCTGGAACTGGTGTCACAGACAATTACCTACCATATGAGTGCTGGGATCTGAACTGAGGTCCTCTGCAAAAGCAGCCAGTGCTCTTAACTGCCCTGCAAATTTTCTTCTTAATTAAGAGAAAAATAAGAGATTTAATGCATTTGAGAAGGAGTGAAAACTACTTACTATACCTGATACCCATGTATGGGCCTCCCATCTCAAAGCTTCACCAGTGCACTTGAAGTCTCTTGTACATTCCTGTGTTGTCTGTCTGTCTGTCTGTCTCTCTGTCTATTTATTTGAGGCCTGGTCTCACTCTGTAGCTTAGAATGGCCTGGAACTTACACTATATTCAAGGCTGGCCTTGCACTCATGGCAATCCTCCAGCCTCAGCCTTCTGAGTACTGGGATTACAGGTGTGAGTCCACTACACACACCCAGCTCCCTGTTAATTTTTTTCCTGTTTTTTAAATTTAATTTTTTAGTCTTTTTTAGACAGACTCTTACTGTGTAGCCCTGGAAGCCCTGGAACTTGCTATGTAGACCCAGGTGGACTCATTCTCATAGAAATCTGCCTGTTTTTGCCTCTCCAGCTCTGGAGGTAAAGGTGTGTACTACCATACCTGACTTTTGATTTTTTTTGATACAGGGTTTCATGTATCCCAGGCTGGCCTCAAATTCTAATGTAGAGGAAGATGGCTCTGAACTCCTGATCCTCCTGCCTCTAACTCCCTAGTTAGAGGCATGAGCCACTATGCCCAGTTCCTGCTCCCATTAATCATTTATTTTATTTGCCTCTCCAGCTCGGGAGGTAAAGGTGTGTACTACCATACTTGACTTTTGATTTTTTTTGATACAGGGTTTCATGTATCCCAGGCTGGCCTCAAATTCTAATGTAGAGGAAGATGGCTCTGAACTCCTGATCCTCCTGCCTCTAACTCCCTAGTTCTGGGATGACAGGCATGGGCCACCAAACCCTGTTTCTGTGGTGCTGAGGATGAACCCAGGGCCTCCTGCACACTAGGTGAGCTCTGCCCACAGAGCTCCAGCTCTTGAATCCATCTTGAAGTTGGGGCACAGGGATTGTGCCCCCCACCAGAGACCTCAGAACCTTGGGGGGCCTGGGTTCGGGGTTCCTTTCCTTAAAGGGAAGCATGTGAGCTTTTTGGTGACAAATACAGGGGTGCTGACCGACAACAAATGTGGTAAGAGAGTCTCTCTGTCCTGTAGCCCCAGATGGCCTGGAACTCAGTGTATAGCCCAAGCCTGCCTCAACTTCACAGGGATCCACCTTCCTCTGCCTCATGAGTACTTGGATTAAAGGTGAGTGCCACCACACCCCGCCCTACTCTTAGAAATGGCCCATGTCAAGCCAGTCTCAAACAGGTGATCTCAGCACCCAGGAGGCTGAGGAAGGAGGATCATGGGAAGCCTGGGCTACATAGGAAAACTGTCTCAAGCACACACACGCAAAAGGCATGCCTTTAATCCCAGCATCCAGGAGGCAGCAGCAGGTGGATCTCTGTGAGACTGAGGCCAGCCTGGGCTACATAGAGAGTTCCAGATCAGCTGGAGCTACAGGGAAACCGTGTCAGAAAACAAATGAAAACCATACACACAAACAAGGGAAGGGAAGGAAGTCTAGACCCAGAATGACCAGCCATGGAGCCACAGGAACTGAGAACTTGACCTTCCTGACACAGGATGCCCAAGCCAGGGGACAGACACAAACGCTGTCACCAATATTTTTTGGACATGGCAAGTGGTATCCGTTCCCTCTGGCCCCCTTCTGCCCAGCAAGAACACATCCACATACCTCACACCCTTCCCACGTGAGCATGCACCCCGACCTCCCCAGAGAAGCCAACTTGGGGTATAAACATGGCTGGATTCAAAGTGAACTTTGTTTCCAGAATTTCTTTTTCCTAGGAGCTAGTCCTGTCTGACCAGTGTTTGGGCCTCAGACCCCATGTCTCTGGGTTGTGGCTCAGCTGCCCATAGTAGACCCCTGACAAGATGGCCCAAGATGTACCTTGGCTGACTCCTGTGATAGGTTCCCCAGCCTTCGTACCCAGAGCCTCCCTACTGGCCCCTTGGGCAGTGTCCTTTCTGCCCAGGAACCCCTCGCTCTCAACCTTTCATCCTGAAGTGTTGCGCCAAGGTCTTACGCCACCAACAGAAATGGCCCCAGCCCACAGAACTGTGAGGCGGACACAGGCAGCAGAGACCTAAGTGCAGGTGACAATTCCATATGAAGAAAGAGCTGCAAGAGGAGCCTGAGGGTCCCAGAGGCCTGAGAATGTGAGCCCAGTTC